TTCAATACTGCACTTTTATGTAATCTTATTTAATTACACATTGTAATCACATTTCTTGTTTGCTTCTGTAACTCAGTGCATTTATTATGCTTTATGTTAACTAGAGGAACTGTATGTTTCCTCTTCACTGTTATTTCTACCCTTGGATTTATCTGATGACTTGATACTATCAATAAATCCATTGTAAAAGAAAATTTATAGTTTCCTAACTGTCATTCTAATGCTTTGGCTTCAATACTTTAGAGTCTTTGACACAGAGCAAGTGTAAAGATCACGAATTCTGACTGTTCTCAGACTTTATTTTTGTTTTATGCTTGTTCTGGGTCTTTTAATCAGAATGATTGAAACCAGAAGTAGCCAGATAACTTGAAATTTCAGGAGAGCCACCAATGATGGGTATTCTTTAAGTGGTGAAGTGTCTGAACAGAATAACAGAAGCTGCAATTGCTGTCTTGCTGTTCTCATATTCCTTTTGTAGGAAACCTAATGGCTTCCACGTTACTATGCTGCAAATTAAAGTGTAACTCCAACCAAAAGCATTACTCCCCCCTCCCCCCTACTGTGACAACATTATTATAATATTGATATTATATATAATACAGTGTATATAAAAAGTCTACACACCCCTGTTAAAATGTCAGGTTTCTGTGATGTAAACAAATGAGACAAAGAAATCATTTCAGAACTTTTTCCACCTTTTTAATGTAACCTATAAACTGTACAACTCAATTTAAAAACAAACTGAAATCTTTTAGGGGGGAAGTAAATGTAAAAGACTAAAATATTGTGGTTGCATAAGTGTGCACACCCTCTTTTATAACTGGGGATGTAGCTGTGTTCAGAATTAAGCAATCATACTCAAAATCATGTTAAATAGGAGTCAGTACACACCTGCCATCATTTAAAGTGCCTCTGATTAACCCCAAATAAAATGCAGCTGTTCTAGTAGGGCTTTCCTGACATTTTCTTAGTCGCATCCTACAGAAAAAGCCATGGTCCGCAGAGAGCTTCCAGAGCATCAGAGGGATCACATTGTTAAAAGGTATCAGTCAGGAGAAGGGTACAAAAGAATTTCCAAGGCATTAGATATATCATGGAACACAGTGAAGACAGTCTCAAGCGGAGAGAAAATATGGCGCAACAGTGACATTACCAAGAACTGGACGTCCCTCCAAAATTGATGAAAAGGCAAGAAGAAAACTGGTCTCGGAGGCTGCCAAGATGCCTATAGCAACATTAAAGGAGCTGCAGGAATATCTGGCAAGTACTATCTGTGTGGTACATGTGACAACAATCTCCCGTATTCTTCATATGTCTGGGCTATGGGGTAGAGTGGCAAAACGGAAGCCTTTTCTTACAAAGAAAAACATCCAAGCCTGGCTAAATTTTGCAAAAATACATCTGAAGTCTCCCAAAAGCATGTGAGAAAATGTGTTATGGTCTGATGAAACCAAGGTTGAACTTTTTGGCCATATTTCCAAAAGATATGTTTGGCGCAAAAACAACACTGCACATCATCGAAAACACCATACTCACACAGGGGTGTGAAATTTATTTAAGAAACTACTTGTCCAAGGACTAAATCTGGGTCCAAATCTACTTGTCCCTCATTTATTTTTATTTTTTTTATTCAGGGCAAGTAGATAATTTTCACCAAAACCATATTTAAATAAGGCCTTATTTGTTATAATACTATTGAATGAGACAGTTTTATCACTAGGAATTTTCAAGGATGTATGTCCCTTTTAAACCTTGCAATGGCTTTGCCAAGATGGAAAATACAAAGGGTTGATGTTTTTTATTAGGCAGAGTTGCTTTTAGGAGTGTCTCGGGCTTTTAAAAATGAAAAAGGCTTTAAAGTGACTTAAATGTTTAATATTTTTAACATTGCACTGTTTATATCCTACTCACCTCCTTGCCTGTCTCCAGCACCGCACTCTGGGACTAGCAGGGAAAGGAGAGACCTCGCAGTGTGACAAGCACCGATTGGGTGCTCATCAGGAAAGGGGATTGTCGATCTTTCTTAATGCCCAGCAGAGTTGCATCTGCTGAGAGAGTAAATTACCCTTGCACACGATTGCATGAGCAGAGAAATCAAGATCCGGTGTCCATCAGGGTCTGATAATTTTTTTTTTTTCTTTTTTTTTGGTTCAACCTGCTGATGAATGAAAAATATAACTAATGTATGGACTGCCTTACTAAAGGTAAAGAATTTCATTAATACCAGAAACTGTTGGGACAATGAACATCTTAGTTAGGTCTATGTACAGTATAATGTATAGAGTATAGGGGTCAGAAGTAAGTAAAAAACAAAACATATGAAGTACAGCGGTCAGGATGAGAATGTTCACATCAAAGTCCCCAGCATTTACCTCTATACATTGGAGTATGCCCTCGCATCACGTGGGACCGTGGCGGAGTGCGCCCTCGCATCACGTGGGACCGTGGCGGAGTGCGCCCTCGCATCACGTGGGATCGTGGCGGAGTGCGCCCTCGCATCACAGGAAGGGGGGAGGGAGTGTGCTCACTGGACTAATGTTATACTCAGCGTGCACAGCTGCAGCCGTTCTGCCCATGTTTATAGACAGCCCTGCTGCTTGCCTGCAGCAGGGCTAAGTGAAAGAAAAAACAATCTGCCCGGAGCTACATGTCCTGGGCATTGGGCGATAGGATTTGCACATCCCTGCCCACAGTGAAGCATGGTGGTGGCAGCATCATGCTTTGGGGCTGTTTTTCTTCAGCTGCAACTGGGGCCTTAGTCAAGGTAGAGGGAATTATGAACAGTTCCAAATACTAGTCAATATTGGCACAAAACCTTCAGGCTTCTGCTAGAAAGCTCAACATGAAGAGGAACTTCATCTTTCAGCGTGACAACGACCCAAAGCATACAACCAAATCAACAAAGGAATGGCTTCACCCGAAGAAGATTAAAGTTTTTTGGAATGGCCCATCAAGAGCCGAGACCTGAATCCGACAGAAAATCTGCGGGGTGATCTAAAGAGGGTGGTGCACAGGAGATGTCCTCGCAATCTGACAGATTTGGAGTGTTTTTGCAAGGAAGAAGGGACAAATATTGCCAAGTTAAGATGTGCCAGGCTGATATACTCATACCCAAAAAGACTGAGTGCTGTAATAAAATCAAAACGTGCTTCAACAAAGTATTAGTTTAAGGGTGTGCACACTTATGCAACCATATTATTTTAGTTTTTTATTTTTACTTCCCTCCACCTAAAAGATTTCAGTTTGTTGTTCAACTGAGTTGTACAGTTTATAGGTTACATTAACCTCAAGCCTACAGGGCACTTATACCCCCTTCCTGCCTAGGCCAATTTCCAGCTTTCAGCAAGGTTGCACTTTGAATGACAATTGCGTGGTCATGCAACACTGTACCCATATGAGATTTTTATCATTTTTTTGTGACAGAGCTTTATTTTGGCGGTATTTAATCACCTCTGGGTTTTTATTTTTTTTCTTAAACCAAAAACCACTGAAAATTTAAAAAAAAAAAAAAAAAAGTTTTTTCATAGTTGTTATAAAATGTTGTAAATAAGTGATTTTTCTCCTTCACTGATGTGCGGTAATGAGGCTGCAGTGATGGGCACTGGTAGGTGGCACTGATGAGGAGGCACTGATGGGCATTGACAGGCATCACTGATGGGCACTGAAAGGCAGCACTTGTAGGTGGCACTGACTGGCACTTGTAGGTGGCACTGACTGGGACTTGTAGGCGGCACTGATGGGTGGCACTGAAAGGCAATGGGTGGCACTGAAAGGCAGCTCTGATATGTGGCATTGATGTGCACTGGTAGGCACTGATATGTGGCAACTCATGTGCACTGGCACGTGGCACTGCTGGGGCTGCACTGATCATCAGGGCACACTGATCATCAGTGCTCTGATGATCAGTGTACATGTCCCCTCCGCGGAATGCCGATTACCGGCTCTCCTCTCCTCTCGAGCTGTCAGTGTGACAGCTCGAGAGGAGAGAAATGCTGATAACTGGCATTTCCCTGTTTACATGTGATCAGCTGCGATTGGACACAGCTGATCACATGACCGAGCCGACATATTTGGCTCTTTATGTGGATCGGTGATCCACTGTGTCTGAGGGACACAGCGCACCGCCGATCGCCACGCTCTCCGGAGCCGCGAATGCACATTTTAGAATGGGAGGACATCATATGACGTCCTCCCAGAACAAGAGAACCACCTTGCGTCCGTCATATTACTACATGGTGGCGGGAGGTGGTTAAAGCTGGAGGTTATTGCTGCCAAAGGAGGGTCAACCAGTTAAGTCCAAAGGTTCACATACTTTTTCCTCCCTGCACTGTAAATGTTTACATGTTATGTGCAAATAAACCATGGCAACATCTAATGTTTGTGTAGTATTATGTTCAGCAGACTGTGTTCTATAGTTGTGACTTAGATGACGTTCAGAGCACATTTTATGCCCAATTCATGCAAAACTCCACGTAATCCCAAGGGGTTCACATACTTTTTCTTGCAACTGTATATTGTACGTTCACATCAGTCCCTAGCCCTCATGGGGCGTACAGTCTAAGATCCCTAACTTACATTCATATACAGGGCCAATCTAGACAAGATCCAATTAACCTGCCAGCATGTCTTTGGAGTGTGGGAGGAAACCGGAGTACCCGGAGGAAACCCACGCAGGCACAGGTAGAATATGCAAACTCCAGGCAGGAGGTGCAGTGGCTGGAAAGTTCACTTTTACATTGTGGCGCAATGCCTGAACCAAATTCAAAATAAAGTACTGACATTTCAAAGCTTACAAAAGTGAAGCTACCGTATTTTTCGCTCCATAAGACGCCTCCTAGGTCTGTGTCTGCAGACCAGAGACTGCAGACACAGTACAGGGGATGACCAGAGACTGCGGACACAGTACAGGAGATGACCTGATACTGCAGACATAGTACAGGAGATGACCTGATACTGCAGACATAGTACAGGAGATGACCAGAGACTGCGGACACAGTACAGGAGATGACCAGAGACTGCGGACACAGTACAGGAGATGACCAGAGACTGCAGACATAGTACAGGGGATGACCAGAGACTGCGGACACAGTACAGGAGATGACCAGAGACTGCGGACACAGTACAGGGGATGACCAGAGACTGCGGACACAGTACAGGAGATGACCTGAGACTGCGGACACAGTACAGGAGATGACCTGAGACTACGGACACAGTACAGGAGATGACCAGAGACTGCGGACACAGTACAGGAGATGACCAGAGACTGCGGACACAGTACAGGAGATGACCAGAGACTGCGGACACAGTACAGGAGATGACCAGAGACTGCGGACACAGTACAGGAGATGACCAGAGACTGCGGACACAGTACAGGGGATGACCAGAGACTGCGGACACAGTACAGGGGATGACCAGAGACTGCGGACACAGTACAGGGGATGACCAGAGACTGCGGACACAGTACAGGGGATGACCAGAGACTGCGGACACAGTACAGGGGATGACCAGAGACTGCGGACACAGTACAGGGGATGACTAAGAGACTGCGGACAGTACAGGGGATGACCAGAGACTGCGGACACAGTACAGGGGATAACTAAGAGACTGCGGACAGTGTAGGGGATGACCAGAGACTGCAGACAGTACAGGAGATGACCAGAGACTGCGGACACAGTACAGGGGATGACCAGAGACTGCGGACACAGTACAGGGGATGACCAGAGACTGCGGACACAGTACAGGGGATGACCAGAGACTGCGGACACAGTACAGGGGATGACCAGAGACTGCGGACACAGTACAGGGGATGACCAGAGACTGCGGACACAGTACAGGGGATGACCAGAGACTGCGGACACAGTACAGGGGATGACCAGAGACTGCGGACACAGTACAGGGGATGACCAGAGACTGCGGACACAGTACAGGGGATGACCAGAGACTGCGGACACAGTACAGGGGATGACCAGAGACTGCGGACACAGTACAGGAGATGACCAGAGACTGCGGACACAGTACAGGGGATGACCAGAGACTGCGGACACAGTACAGGGGATGACCAGACTGACTGCGGACACAGTACAGGGGATGACCAGAGACTGCGGACACAGTACAGGGGATGACCAGAGACTGCGGACACAGTACAGGGGATGACCAGAGACTGCGGACACAGTACAGGGGATGACCAGAGACTGCGGACACAGTACAGGGGATGACCTAAGACTGCGGACACAGTACAGGGGACCAGAGACCAGAGACTGCGGACAGTACAGGGGATGACTAAGAGACTGCGGACACAGTACAGGGGATGACTAAGAGACTGCGGACAGTACAGGGGATGACCAGAGACTGCGGACAGTACAGGAGATGACTAAGAAAATGCGGACCTTTGGGGAGGGAGGGGGAGCGGGTATCTGAATTTGACAGGTACCCGCTCCCGCTTCTGCGGTATTGTCCTCCCTTTAGTGTGGGCACCCGGCTGACAGCTAGGTGCCCGCTGCGCTTTGTGCTTGGTCCGGCGTCTTCTGGGACCTGTCGTGTCCCAGAAGACGCCGTACTATTCACAAAAGCGCAGCGCTTCTCGCGCATGTGCAGTGGGCACCCGGCTGTTACAGCCAAGAGCCCACGATAAAAATGCAGACGCGGGAAGCCTTCTCAGCTCTGGACTGAGGAACAGTTAAGGTCCTGCTGCAGAGAAGAGACAAGTGGCCGGCCCGGTATTCATACACGGCGGTGGGAATACCGCACCGGCCGTTCCATATATTCGCTCCATAAGACGCACTGACATTTTCCCCCCTTTTATTTGGGGGAAAAAAGTGCGTCTTATGGAGTCAAAAATACGGTAATCAAGACCAATTCTCTTCAGGCATACAGAGACCCTGGAGCAGATATATTTTGCATACGTGTCTTGTATGTGTAAAAAGTGGCGCAGTGTGCACCAAATTAAAGCACAAATTCTATACAGGTACATGAATTTGGCTCATGCTACGCCACTTTTAAACACGTTAGAAACTTTCACAAAACCTGTCTGCGACAGTCTTTGTGAATTCCAGGGACTTTATCCTATTTGTAAAGTTCTTTTATTAGAAGAATCCTGTTATGAATGTGTTTGCTGACAATGTTTATTGTCTATTTAGTTTAAAATTGATAGGTAAATACTTTTTTTATTGTGGTTTCAGATTTACATGCTTACCCTTTCACTTCTGGATGTAAATATCTGTTAGCCTTTCTGCGTATATACGGCATATGTTTATCAAACCATGAAATTATCTCTCCTTCAGGCAAGGTGACATAACCTTGCTGCAAGCTGAAATATGGTAACAGTATTTTTATTTAATGAATGAAGGCTTCAGGAAATTTATGGCATGGATTCTTTTAGATTGATTTTAGAATTGAAGTCACAACTTTGTGTGTGTTCTCCCAAAACGTCAAAAAAACATGGTTTCAAAAATTCTAAATGGGCATCACTTAGAATTATTTCTTTCACATCGACATGCGTGGAGATACCCAGTATGTGTGCGCAATAAACACACATTTGCATTCGTTTCCATGAGCAGGGCAAAAGGGGTGCTGTAATTTTTTACTTATTTTTTTTACATTTTAAACACTTTTTTTTTTTCAACTACCGTTATAACTACTGAAGGGAGGGAAGATTCTGACTACTTCTGGTACAAGATTAGATTGTACACCCCTTGAGGGTTAGGGACTGATGTGAATGTACAATATATATGTAAAGCGCTGCGTAAATTGATGGCGCTATATAAGTACCTGAAATAAATAAATAAGATGTTTTACTTCCATCCTTGAGTCTTTCCAATGACTATGTTTTAATGGCAATGTTTTGCATTAACCTCAAAATCCTAATGCTCCCCAGCATAAGCACAGGCTTGCTACTGAAGCTGAGCACTTCCGGGTTCACGCTCTGCAGAGAACACCAGGGAGCAGATCACACTTTGTGTGTGTGTGTAGTTCTGGGCTCCTAGGTGGAGTGGGCTTTGCTAGAACCACCACTGCCCAAATAAGCTTTACCAAAGAGCCTTGTTTATGTGACCATTTTTTTAAAGCCCAACTCCAGAAAACCTGAAAACACCTTTTCACATTGGGCTGCACATAAAAGAAATGTATTCTTTGAGTTTACTCTAAAGTGAACCTGTGCCCAAATCATGGACGTTAAAGTATTTACATATTCTTAACAAGCAGTGAATGCACTTAACAAGTCCTTATTCATCTTTGTATTTATAGACATTTGTAAAAAATTAGTAAGTTCTCTACAGGGGCATTACACTTAATTTACAAAGCTAAGGATACTTAGGCCCCTTTCACATGGCCATTTAAATCCAGGTATGCCGGTACGCCTGTCATTTGTTCAGGGTCAGACCTGGTCAGAAGGTCCATGCAGTCTTATGGACAGATGTGTGTAAATAGACTTATCCTTTTATACCCACCTATCTCCAGGTCCAATCAGGTCCACTAAAAAAAAAAAAAAAAAAAGTTGTTAAGTTGCGTGTTCCTCCATTTTGGCAGACCGGATCAGAGGTAACCTGCTGTAAATGGACAGTGAAATCTGTTTACAACCTGCTTCCTATAGCACACAGCGGGGTCTGTCTGTGTCCACTCTGCAGAAACTGAGCGGACATGGATGTGAAATCCGCTGTGTGGAACGGGCCTTAATTAAAAAAAAAAAAAAGTTGAGTCTAGTAATATTTACAAATTACATACAAATCATATGAAATGAGATAAAGATACTCATCCTTGTGTTTAAAGCTGAAATTTAGTGGGGGAAAAAAAAAAAAATCAGCTCCAGCTTACCATGAATGAACAATGTGCTGGTGGCTGCTGTGTTTGGCTGAAATCTTTAATCCTCTGCTCTTTGACCCTGGAAAATTCTACATTTTTTTTTTTTTTTTACTGATTTTGTTTATTTTACAAACATACATAATTTTCAGCGGTGTGTTTCTTCTCTGCATTTAAAGCGGTAGCAAAATAAAACACACAAAATTGTCTCCCTGCAAGTTATAGTATAATGTGCTAGTATGTATCGCATACTATCACATTATTAGACTTACCTGAAAACGAAGCCCTCCAACCGTGCACTATCACTACTGACAGGACTTCCATCTTCATCCGGTCTTCCTTCCTGGTTCACAGGCTGTGGCCGTTTGACTGGCCGAGCCCTGTTGACGTCACTCCCGGAGCACGGCTCTCTCAAGAGAGAGAGCGCAGTGCGCATGAATGAGTGCACTGCTAAATGAAATTATCTCCTAAATGGGCACATTTTAGGAGATTTTTACTTTACCTACAGGTAAGCTTCATTATAGACTTACCTGTAGGGAAAATTCATATACTTTTACTTCCTCTAAGAAGTTCAATATGCTGCTTGTGCAGGCTTGTATACAAAGAACCTGTGTCAAAGTTATGGGAGGAACCTCCCCCCCCCCCCCCCCCCCCCCCCCAGCATTGGGGTTTATCGAGACTTACCTGTACAGGTTGAATGTCCCATTTATTTTCTCAATAACGTCATGGCTGGGACTGTACAGGTACCATCAGGATGCTGTCGTAGTGCTTGGCCACTGTAGTTAGTTTAGGGTTAAGCTGGCATTTTATTAAATTGTGCAACTGCTTTAATGTTAAATATAATATATGCTTTTCTAGTCAGCAGTTTCATACAATGCGCTCCTTACTTTCTGAAGACGTGGGCTTGCATCTCTGGTTTGTGTAGGCAGCAGCACAAAAAAGTCTTACATTTTATTGTCATGGATTCATAATTACATGCTTGAGAGAACAAAATGTTTAATATTTAAAAAAAAAAAAAAAAAAAAAACCCCAACAAACTACTGTTGCTTGCTAAAATACCAGGGGGGTCACCTGCATCTGTAAAGAAGCCCAAGGCTAGTTTTCCAACTGTTTATTAGAACAATATTGATCGCAACTTTTGTGCATAACATTTCAAGTGTCACTAAACTCTGGTTTAAAAACAAAAAAATCTATTCAAGTATGTATTCTTACCCAGAAAAGTACCTTCTATTGCTCTCTTCTGCCTCCAGATCTCCAAATTCCATTTTATTGCTGCTGTGATCCAACTTCATGTTAGAGGGTGGCTCTGTTAATTCTCCATGGTCGCACTGTGTGTAAGAATGTAGCCACCCTCCCTTGCTTGCACCTGAGATGAACTAGGGACTGTGAATGATGGGATTTGTAGTGTACATAGAGCAGTTCGTATGACTGTGACTAGCATGCACTGCTCTTCCAGTTGGAAATGAGAGAGAAAAATAAAGTTTTGGGACTACACAGGGGCCATTACAAAAAGGCAGAAAAACAGTGAGGTAGGCCACAGATGGTACGAATTTCCTGCAATCACAAGTTGCAGGAAAGAAATTCGCATGATTCACCCATCAACACAAACAGTGCTGACAGGAGAATGTCTTTTGCCGAGCAATTGTCTTCTCCCGGCGGGGAAGATAGTGATTATTGCTAGCGGCTATAGCAGCCGCTAGCAATAATTGCAAGTGAATCATGAATCCAGCAGGCTGGTTGTACCCAAGCTGATCAATCAATCAACTTGGCACATTCAGCCTGCCCACACACTTTTCGAATCCTCATCTGATTCCTGCTGAACCAGACAAGATTCGAACCGTCTATGGCCGGCCTAACACGCTATTTAATGAACTTAGATTATAGCCATTAAGTAGTGGATGTGTATGGATTGTATTCGGAGAAAAGGATATCATTTAGTGACATTTTAGCTCTTATGATTCTAGAGCCATATTTTTTCCTTTTTGTTTTGTTTTTTTTGCACACATTAATAAGTGCACATTTTAGTCCAGATCATACATTTTCTAAAAATATTATATGTGAAAACTATTATTTTTTTAGAAGCAGAGACCTTGTAAAATAAAATGGTTAGGTGCCATTTTTTGTTAGTGAATATT